GTATTTTTTTGGTGCTTTCCTGGTGGCATGAGTTGCTCGTGCGTTCGAGAGGCAAAGAACCTGACAACATTTTGCCAATTGTTTTAAGCTGAGTTCCCCATCTCGAGGTACCATTTTTGGGCAGAGTCAAGCTGCTCCCAGCGGGTGCTCGTTCTGAGAGAGACCAGTTTTTGGGAGAGTCCACGGCTTCCTCGTGATACTGTGGCTTTGGTCGAGGTTGCAGTAGTTTCTCTGAGGAAGAAAACAAGATGCATTGGTTGGCATAAGTTTAAATTTCGTCAACTACGCGTATCTTATTCCGGAGGATTGGGCTTTGTAATTAACGGTTACGTTACATGATCGGATCTCTAAATAATTAAATAGTTACATTACCAATTAATTTACGGATGTTGTTAATTAGTTTTTTTTAAGAACCTCTTAATAATCACTAATATATGTGTGCGTATGTATATAAATATCATATCAGACATAATATTATTATCTTTTTTAGTGTCTAAATACGTTTGATTTAAGTATTCGAGGAAGTATTAAAAAAAAGATACATTTTTAGAAGGTATAGAATAATTAAAAAATGTATATTTCTATGGGCGATTTTTTAGTGTTTTTGGGGATTTTTTAAAAAGATATTTCTGTTTTTTTATTTTTATCAGATGATGTCTCTTATTTTTATAGTAGATGTACTCCCCCTCGTTATTGTCTACCATCTCCGTTCTCAACTTTGTTCGTCGTTTTCACCCTCATCCTCATTCGTCACCCTTATCCTCGGTTTGAATACTTTCATTGTCGATGGTGATGAGAGACACTGATGGCAAAGCAACTAACATAGACATCAAGATTGAAGGTCTCACAATGAGATATTTGGCAATAGTGGCGAATGATGGCTTCATAGCAAAAATGATGATAGTGAATCTATTATCAGTTAACACGTGTCGTCACATGAGATAAATTTTTTATCCATTATGACAAGAAAAACAATCACAAGTTTTATTCTTATCCTTTATGACAAGGAAGACAATCATATTTCTCATTCTCATCCATTATGACAAGGAAGGCAATCACAACCTCTCTTCTTATACTCTTAGTTATAATAAGATATCTTAAACCCAATACAATATATTTCTTTTGAACTACTTGAATTCACATTTGGGATCTCAGATTACTAACTTAAATATTAAAGGGACTAAGTCGAGAAATTTCTTTCAATCTCGGTCTTGGTGTATGTGGTACATCGAGAGCTTGACATCTCCAACTCTAAGCCTTCTTTAGAGACACTTCTGATAATACTGCTTACATAAATTCAGACCATGTCAAACCAACTAAGACTTCAATGATGTTTTTCCTTAACAATTTGGCCTAAAAGAATGGTATTTTGAAAACCTCTTAATAATCATTAAAATATTTGTGCGTACTTACATAAATATCATATTAGACATAATATTATCACATAATTTAACGTCTAAATATGTTTGATTTAAGTATTTAAGAAAGTATTAAAAAAATCTATTATCAACTAACACAAAAGATAAGCTTCTTAGGAAATAATCATAAGCTTCTTCTCATAATTCCTTCTCATCTTTTATGATAAAAGAAGATAATTATAATTCTTCTTCTCATCTCTTTCTAATGTGAAAAACAATTATAAACTTTCTTCTCATTCAAATATAAAAAGACATCTTACTAAATGCAATGGACTCCTTTTGAACTACTTAAATCTATATTTGGAGATCTCATTCGATTCCTAACTTGAACATTGAAGGAATCGGGTCAGAAAATCCCTCTCGACCTTGGTCTTAATGTAAGTGATGCCTTAGGAGCTCGACACCTCCACATCGGAGTCACCATGGAGACATTTTGAATATTCCTGCACATAAGTTTGGAATACATCGAATTATCCAAGACATCAATGATATTTTTTTCTAACAAGTGATGAACGAGAGTAGGGGCGGAGACAACAACAGGTAACGAGAGGTGTTACTGGTCTTATAAAAAAAATTGAAAACATGGAGCACCTTTCCATAAAAAAAGTCCACAAAAGTAGGGGCCCAACTCAAATGTATGGCCCACGTTGGGTAGGACCCAATATGAGACTCAATCTAGATCAGACTCGAGGATAACGACCGAACCCAAATATGGATTCGACTCGGACCTTATTTATATTAGTTAAGACATGTAACATGAACTATGCATATATTCATCGCAGCTTTCTATACGGATTTGATTGTATAAAGCTACTGATGGCACAATCTACAGATCAGGAGAGTAGCACTTAATGCTCCTTATACGACTTATATTAATCTAACCTAACACCGAATCGGTCAGATGCGATCGAGTATTGGATAATATATGATAAATACATGCTTGTTTGGTGCTAAGTGAAAGAAAAGAAAGTTCCAGAATTTATAAGCTGTCATTTAGCGTGCAAGTTTCTTTTACACTAATGGTTAAATGAGAATTAAAATATATCGAAATAAAAAATAATCAATGAAAAGTAATGTATTATTAAAAATATGTGAATAAATTCTTTAAAATATGAGCTCGAATTCCATATATATATATATATATATATATATATATAT